TCTGAGATTCAGAGGCTGCTTCCTGCACTGAGGAGGTGCATTGGTGATGCCAGGTGCAACCAGGCACAGTGAAGCTCCTGAGGTACTCTGCTGCCAGGGAGATTTCTGCAGTTCCAATTCACAGACAGGTCTGAATGAGGCAGATAATTCAGTAATGTGAGACATCACCTACTGATAAAGTTCAGAGCAACCCCTGTAGCAGGGAGTCCACAAATAGCTGCACTGCACATGGGCTGCTGGATGAATTGCCCAGGCCCCATCCAAAGGTAATGTAAGTCCAGAAGAGTAAAAATTAAGCCTCTGGTATGAGCATATACCTGTGAAAGGTATAAATGGTATCTAACCTCCTTTAAGCATCCTAAGCATGACTCAAGGCAATATATTTCCAGTGGTTTATTACTTCTCTCCAGTTTTCAAGCCTTGGCTTTTACCTTTTCAGTCTGCCCCATCCCCTACAACATACAGCAATGCATACGATGTGTGTGAAACAAAATTAATCTATCTGCCTACCTGTGGAGGTTCACAGGCTGAGCTCTCCTCCCAACACAATTTAAACACTTTGAACAGCCCCCCACTGCAGATGAGGCAGAGAATGGGACACGACTCAGAGCACTGAGGGAGTGATCTGGAGACCTGGAATTTGTGATGCTATGACTGTGCTTATGCAAGGTTAGCAGGACTGTGTAGAACTCTGCTGTTTCATGGCTGTTTCTTCTAACAAAGGAGCTTGGGGGCTTCTGCATCGTGCTACAGACACCTCCCCTGCCATGGTAAAAAAAACCTCTGGGTGCTACCCATGCCATTCCTTCCCCAATGAGGATTCCTCTCTCTTCTGTGTCTCCAAACAGCATTGTGGCCAAGTTCTGGCCTAAAGAGGCCTGACAGCTTTGAAATCCTGCAGTGCCTTCATCAGCTCACCTTTGAGCAGCACTGGCTGCATATAAAGTTGCCCAAGTAGGTTTGGATGCCCGACCCTAGCTATGTTTGCTCGAAGAGATAGTGTCTTCTTTTGTTAAAGCTGGAATTTACCCTAGGGACTCAAATGCTCACAATAGCAGTGCCAGATGTCAAGAACTGGGTGATGCACAGCACAAGGAGTCACTGATGTTGGCTGCAGGGAAGGAAAGGGGGTGAGAATGACAGGGAAGCCCTTTGTGTGGGATGGAAAATCCTTCATGGGACAACTGCTCTCACAAAGATTAATTTCTTTCTTAGATACATTTCTTCTGGGTCTATGCCTTCCAGCAGAGATTAAATTTGGTAGGAAAGTTTGTGGCTGTTAAACTGAAATATTTTCCCAATGAAGGTGCAAAAGACAAGAGTTCATATATGGAGCCAGGGAAAGGGAAAAAGTTGAAAGAGACAATCCCCTATCTGCCCGTTTGTCCTCATCTCCATCCATCTGGAGATGCTCACAGGGCAGAACAGAAGGGAGAAGGGTTTGTGTGCTTAACATCCTCCGCAATTTTTGAGCACCCTGCCAGACAGAAGGGTGCTGTGTCCCTGCAGCTCCGAGCAGCACCAGTCCTGCCTGCAAGACCCTTGGAACATGGGCCCGTCTCCTGGCTGCCCCTAGGAGAGCCGAGCCGGGTCTCCCCCTCCTGCATGCCACTCTCCCACCACATAGCTGCTCCTCGGAATCCCTCTTTTCATCCTCTCCCTCTTCCCTCCAATGTCCTCATCTTCTTTTACCGCGCTCCTCGTTCCTTCATCCTCCCGTCTTCTGCGCTCCCCTCATCCCTCTGCCCATCTCCTTGCGCCTCCCTCTCCCGCTTTTATTCTCCATCCCGGTATCTCCCCCCGCTCATCTTTGTTCTCCTGCCCTGTCGTCCATCCCCTGCTTCTCCTCCTTCTCCTGCCGGTGTTCCCGTGCCTGGCGCCCATTGGCTCCCGGTCCCCGTCCCCCGGTGCCGGCGCTGCGCTCCCTCTGCCCGCGCCCCGCGGGGCACAGACACGGGGCCGTGGGGCTGCGGGGCCGCGCATCGCGCCCGCCCCCGCGCCCCTCCCGGCCGGGCACGGCGGGCCATGGGCGAGTCCGGACACCGGCACTCGCTCCTCCGGTAGCGCCCGGCGGGGCTCGCTCCCTCCGGGAGCGCTTTGCTCTGCCGCGTTTAAGAAGGAGGAAGGGGAAAAGCATGGCACGGATTCTCCCGGGGAAGCGGAGGAAAATGTGCATCCCGACGACGTGTAAGTACCCGGCGGCTCTGCCCGCTCTTCCCGGATGTCTCCCGCGGGCATGAGTCCATGCAGAAGTTAAGTCCGCAGTTCCAGAGAAGAAAACCTGCAGACCAGCCCCCGCTCCCGACCCTCCAACTCTGCCGATCCAGCCTGGTCCTTACGAGACAGCTCAACCCCGAGGTGAGACGGGAGAGCCCTGAGCTGGAGCAGGGCCGTGGGAAACAGGGGGGACAGGAGGGGAGGTGGTCAGGAGAGGGTGGTGCAGGTTATTGGGCTGTGTTGTCCCTCCCTATTCTCCATGCTATTCATGGTTTGTTACCAGGACTAGGCTCAGCTTTCAGCATCCACCTCCTCCTCTCATTCAGTGCAGAAATATGTACAAAAAAAATATATATATATTTATATTTCCCCCCCTAAGGAAAGAAGCAGTGCCAATTTCCTATCTCCTCCTACCTCTCTGCCTTCCTCCTGCTCTCCAGCTGCATGAACCAGGCATATTCCGGTAGCACCTGTTAGAGGATCCCAAGCCTCTTGCAACAGGTGCTGTCCACACAGGAACAAATCCAAGTGCATGCCAACACACTGTCAGTCTGAGTCCTGTGTTCCTCACTAACTCCTACCTATGCATTTGCTGCCAAAGCAACCAGCAGAGTGGACCCAAACTAGATGGAGCACAGGTGCCCAGTGTTTTTTCTGCCAAATGAGCCAAAATGTGTGACACGGCATTTGAGCTGGTCCATGGTACTTGACAAAGTTAGAATGGCAGTAACAGACTGCACCTGCTTAAAGATCAGGTCTCTCCCCTGCGGCTGCCTGAGCAGGAAAATGAGTTTATAGGAAATACATGCTTTTTGTTGCATGCCTTAGCATTTTTGATAGGGCTTCTGAAAGTACCCTAAAGCTGGATTTACTATGTTGTTAAACACTCTGAACAGCTGGCTTTGAGGTCTGGGCCCCAGACACATATGCTTTGCAAGCTCAACCAGGAGTATCTCCATCCATATTTGGTATTTGTAAGGCTCCAAATGTTTGGCCTTTTTCTTCTTTAAATTCCTTTGCTTGCAGGAGGAACATGCAAAGGGATTCCTATCTATGTCTTCATCTTTTAGAGAATCATCCTTTTATGAACATACTGTTCTGCCACCTTTTGTAGGAATCTTTGTCCCTAGAGCAGCCATTGCCCTTCTCTTTTCTCCAACAAGTGATTTGTGTCACTGGAACAGAATTGGAAAAAATATCAGAGGAAACATCCTTGAACTCAGAGTTTCAAATCACTTCCTATTCAGCTTATTCATTGCAGCCACTCATGATGTGTGGGACAACCCAGTGCTGCAGAACCCCGTGGGATGGGCTTCTGTCAGGACAGTGTGTCACAGCCCAAGGCACCTGAAAATTTAAAAAAATCTAAACAATCCCAGTCCTTGAAAGCTCAAATGCTCTAAAGCAGGAAACATTCATACAATAGCCTGTAGAGATGGCCTTAAGACATAGTTGCTCAACTGTGTTTTTATGGGACCTCTCAGATGAGGTTCCTTCAGTGTAAAATTTAATACATCTGTGGAGTCTGATGGGTTTGCCTGTCTGATATCCAAGGAATCCATCTAAAGCTCAGGTCTCCCCTAGGAGACTGGCACCCACAAAACAAACAAACAAACAAATAACAAAACCCCAAGCAATAAAAAACCCCCAAGCACTGTAATAATAGATATTTGTGAAGAAAGCTGTGATGCTACAGAAAATCACATCTGCAAGAAAAGTCTTTGGAGCATCTCTGCCCTCCTGAAAGTAGTTAAGTTTGGGAGTCCTTTCCTTTGACATCCCCAGTTTTAATTTTAATAGAAAAGGAGCTTCAGAACCCTAAGAGATTTGTTGAGATGTGAAAAGGTGAGCCTGAGGGTTCCCATTCACTTCCACCAAGTCATCTTCTCTTCCAAGGACCTAATTCAGGGGGATAACCCTGTCAGTCCACACCTCCAGAAAATTTTTCCAGAGCTGGAGTAATCCTGAAAGAACCACAAATCTCCTTTGCATTAGGGTGTCTCTGGTCCACAGCATGTGCTGGGCTCTGTATTTCACATATGGAGCCCTGACAAAAGGCACGTCCATTCTCTCCCTGCAGCTCCTCTTCAGTGTCAGCAGCGAGCTGGTGGTGAATGGAGAGCTTGTTTGCTCAAGGCTGTCACTGAGTGAGCCGAGTGCTGTTTCCATGCCAAACCCTCGTGGAGCAGTCAGGCTCCTCTGCTTAGGAAGGCTGGGACACCGCTTTGGTGTTGCAAACAGGTGGGGCAGGCAAAGCCTCTGCCATTAGATGTGTTGCAGCATGCAGAAGGAGAGGGACAGAATGGCAGGAAGAATAGGACAAAAAGAGACAAGGGGGATCTGGACTGATTGCTCTTGGTGTACCCAAAATTATCTCTCCTTTACTCTCAAAGTGGCAAAACACAAACCAGCTGCCTTTCAGCTCAGGTGCTGAGCTAAGCCTCTCTGCTTGGATTGAAAGTGCTTTTCCTTCTCTTGTGGGGCTAACAATAACCTGACCAGTCCAAAAAGAGCTTCAGCAAGCAGAAGAATAAATACTCAGAGAATAGGTAAGTCAGAGTTGGAAAGGCACTTTGTCACTGGATGCTTTTCCCTCTTTTACTTTTAAAGCACCTGCCACTTATAAATGAGGACCAGGCCCCTGGTGACTATGTCCTCAGTATTGGATCCATTAGCAGAAAATGAAAACTTTCCCTGTCCTTGTGTTAGTCTGTTCTTTTCCCAGAGGATCTTTCGCTAGAGGAGAGGCCCACATTGAGCCCTGCTTGTCCCTCCATGTCCACTGTGCCTTGCAGGACTAGATGGGTTTGATATTGTCCTAGATTTTCCAGCATCTGCTAGCATCCACAAACTCCCCTTGATTTCCCATGCCTGCCCATACCTAACACACAGTTAATGTGATTATTTTACCTGTGGCTTGTTCAGCTGTCATATCGCCAGTATCAACGGTTTTTTTCTCTTCCCTTCAGCTCCAGATTGCTAACTGATCCTGCAAGGACGCTGCCCCCTGCCCTCTTCCCTGCCTCTGCTATGGACACTTCTGCTTTTAGCCTCCCCACGCCGGTAGTGTTGGAGGAAGGGAATGCCTCCAGTAGCTGGGCAGGCTTCACTATCCCCAACAGCTCCTCCACTGTCAGCCCTGGTGTAGTTGTCAGCGGTGTCCTCATCCCCGTGGTCTACCTCATTGTCTGTGTGGTGGGGTTGGCTGGGAATTCCCTGGTCATTTATGTGGTCCTGCGGCACTCTGTGAGCGAGTCGGTGACCAACGTGTACATCTTGAACCTGGCCCTGGCTGATGAGCTCTTCATGCTGGGCCTGCCCTTCCTGGCTGCACAAAATGCCCTGTCCTACTGGCCATTTGGTTCTTTCATGTGCCGCCTGGTGATGGCCGTGGATGCCATCAACCAGTTCACCAGCATCTTCTGCCTGACGGTGATGAGTGTTGACCGCTACCTGGCTGTGGTGCACCCCGGGAAGTCCTCCAAATGGAGGACAGCAAGGGTGGCCAAGGCCGTGAGTGTGACCGTGTGGGTGCTGTCTTCCATAGTGGTGCTGCCTGTGGTTGTGTTCTCAGATGTCCCTTTAGGGATGAGTACATGCCACATCCAGTGGCCAGAGCCTGCCTCAGTGTGGAGAGCTGGCTTCATCGTCTACACTGCTACCCTGGGCTTCTTTGGACCACTGCTGGTGATTTGTCTCTGCTATCTCCTGATTGTTGTGAAGGTTCGCTCCTCTGGCCGGCGGGTGAGGGCTCTGTCCTCCAAGCACAAGCTTTCAGAGCGCAGAGTGACCCGCATGGTGGTGACTGTGGTGGCTGTCTTTGTCCTTTGCTGGCTTCCCTTCTACGTCCTCAACATAATCAATGTTGTCTGCCCGCTGCCAGAGGAGCCATCCCTCTTTGGAGTCTACTTCCTTGTGGTGGTGCTGCCGTATGCCAACAGCTGCGCCAATCCCATCATCTACGGCTTCCTCTCCTACCGCTTCAAGCAGGGCTTCCGCAGGGCCATCTTCAGGCCGTCCCGCCGAGTCCAGAGCCAGGAGGTGCCAGCGTGCCCCCCAGAGAAGATTGATGATGAAAGGGAAGAGGGTGAGATCAGCAAGATCACCAGGAATGGAAATGACAGACAGGAGCGCCCTCTAAGCAGTGGAGAAGGAAAAAGCAATGAGCAAAAACCACTCCCTGAGGAGCCTGCGGGATGCGAAAAGAGCAACAAGTTGCATGTCAGTTGTTTATGAGGAAAGGGGTGGTGCAGGGGAAAGAGACATCGGGACTTGGGATCCCCTTCACCGTCTCTGCTTTCAAAGGCAATGGGAGATGATACTAGGGAATAATAAAGTCCAAGAGTAGGCTTAAAAATGAATAGGGCACCATGATCTTGTGGAAGAATCAAGGCATTGTTCTTGGCTTTGGAAGAGACACCTGAGGTTTGTGTGGTACCAGTGTTACCAGAAATTGGTAAAAAAATAAAACCTCCTTAACACTAATGTAGCATTAAGAAGCAGGCATTCTTTATTTGGCTGGATGCATGAGGGGATATCTCCTTCAAAATATCATGCATGCTGAGTACAGAAAAAGCTCCCATTTATGTACTGTATTTTACATACATGCTCATTGATTTTCCCAGTATAAACATACATATAATATTAATTTCCCCAAAACCATTGATGTATTTTCCCTCTCCTTTACACATGTGTTCTTCTGTCCTGGGAGTCTCTTGGTGGTCCCTTGTGGTTGGTGACCCCAACCACATAAGTCATACCTGACTGTCTGGTGAACTGGTGAAAGTTGGCACAACTGGGCTGGTTACTTTCGAGTTTTTCTTCCTACAGAATAAACATTGTGCAGTGCCATAGGCCGGTGGCTTTTGAAGAATAAGCATCGTATTTTTCATCTGGCAAACAGACTTCATTTAGGGAGAGCTGAAGAGGTGATGGGCACTGAGAGTACAGAGAAGCAAGGTCAGACCTAGAGCAATGATCTGCCCTTAGATGATCCAGCTTTGGAGGGCAGAGGCTGCCATCTCATGGTGGCACCTCGAGGAAGTCCCCAGATGGCATATACCACGTGTCGGCAAGCCAGTGCCTTGACTTATAAACATGAGAAGTGGTCTACTTTAAAAGATGAACAGGAAGGAGAAATGTCTGCAGCAAAGACATACCAGCCAGCTGCATGCAAGGCTGGCCCCTCTCTAGTTCTTCAAAAAGTCTTGGGGACAGATTTCCTGCCTGTGCTGGTCATGGCTGGAGACCACTGACTGCTCAAAACCTCCTCTTTCTTTTCAGAGCTCTTATGGATTCTGGGCAGGATGACAAAACTTACCCAGGAGAAAAAAATTGGAACATTTCTTTCCTGCACCTCGCATTCCTCAGGGTTCTCCTGGTGCCTCTCACCCTGGTGGGAGGAGTAACAAGTGTAGAGAAGAAGACAATGAGACAAGTTGGAGGCAGCATTTCTTTTCTTCTCTTCTCCTTAAGCTTTACTATAAATAAAGAAAAAGCCTTTGGACTCAGAAGGCCAGGTGGGCAAAACCATTCTATGTGTTTAGGGGAGGGGGTGATATAGATTTGGCTCTCCTGAGAATACACAATGTCTCTGAGTTGAGTTGGTCTCTGTATGGAGTCATGTTTGGCTGATACAGGAGGTGAAGGCAGCTCTCAGTACAGGATGGGGACAGGAAGCAGACAGAGGTCAGGGGATCTCCAGTGTGTGAGAACTGTGGTTGTAAAGAGTCTGGGCAACACTAGGAACCAATTTATCCTGTAGGAAGTGGTAGAATATTTGGCCCAGAATGGTGAGCAAATGATGTGTCTGCATGTGCACAAAGGTAGGTGTAGGCAAAACTTTGTTCCCTGGACTGTACCTGTATGGTGATGGCTGAAGAGGATTGGTGACCAAGGCTGGTGGGAGGCTGGTGCCAGTCTTGGGCACTGATGCTCATTGCTGGGCGGTGCACATGTGTGCAGGGGTGCCTAAGGGGGTGTGCATGTGTGTAAGTGTACTAACATAAAGTGTGTTTATGTAATTGCAGGATGTTTAAGTGCAGATGTGAGTGCTTGGATAAGAGTTGGAGAGCAAGTGTGGCTGCTGTGCAGTTGGATGAGTGCTTGCTCCTGCACCCTGGTTGTTGGAAGGAAGTTGTGGATGGGCCCATTGAGTGTGCAGGCTAGAGGAGCAGCACTGTACAAGGGTGCGTGGGATGAAGATCTCCCTCTCTACTTTGGCTTCATTCCTGCAGCTCTGCTAAAATGACTGTCCCCACACTTTTAACTTCTCTGTGAATGCTATTGCTAAGTTACAGCCACTGAAATGACCCTCATACCACAGCCCTTTGCGCAGTTTTCTCTACAAACAGTTTTGAGAAATGGGAAGGAGGGACCCACCAGAAGGAAACATGCCTCCTGAGGTTAAAAGATGTTGCAGGAGGTGACTTGTGAGGGTCAATTATGGGAGCTGGCTGGGTAATGGAAAGATGTCTCACAGGTCACTTGAGAAAAGGTAAGAGAAGGGAGGGGGTGGCTTGGGGTTGGATGTGCTGGGACAGAAGCCAAAAGTCCTGGACTGGGAAGCAGGACAAGCTGCAGCAGCTAAGGATCACGGGAACAGAACCACTTTATGAGGAAGCAAGAGTCAAGGTCACATAAAGGCAATGTGAGAAGATGAGATGGCCTGGCAGGCCTCAGAACTGCAGTGCAGGACACCCGACTTTGGAAAAGGACTGTCACAGGCTGTCAGGTGAACAGACATCTCCTAGCCAGGTTAGAGAGCAGAGGAAGGGTAGGCAGGGACTGCAGACACAACCAACCAAAACACATTCAGCTGTGCTCTCAGCCACTGGTACTGCCATCACCGCCACGACAAAGATTGTCCCCCTGAAATCCTACATCCTCATGTTTCCTCTTTAAGTGTCTCTTCCTGAGACACTGGTGCCAAGCTGTCCATGCCTGGAGGCTCAGCCTCGGGAGCTGAGCTGCCAGCCAGACCACTCAGGAGCTGCTCAGCTGCCCTTACAGCGCTTCCCTGAGCAAGGGCAGTCAGACACCCAGGGGTGCAGGCTCAGCTCATGGGGAAAGGAAAGAGCTTGGTAGCCAGTTTCTCTCTTCTGCTATGTCTTTACATCTTTTTTTTCCTTCAGTCAAGGCATCAGCTTCCCGCACTGTGGGCCCCAGTCAGAAAAGCAGCCAAACTATTCATGGGCATGGGATATAGTTTGCTGGACTAAAAAAAGCCTCTATTTTAGGTTCTTAGGGAGCTCCTGCAACAACCACTCGAAGAAACACAACCAAGAAATCCTGGCAGAATAAGGATGGACTGCCTCTATAAGGGGCAAGAACTGGTGGAAAGATTAAAAGGGCTGGCTACCAAATGGTCAGATAGATGGACAGCACAGCACTTCAGACTCCGGTCTGTGTTGCTCCTCTTGCTGAGGAGAGCAGAGCCAGGTCAATGCTGGACTCCCTGGGCAGAGCAATCCCTGCAGGACAGAGAAGAGATTGTAATATCTGAGGAGCTTGTAGCACTGCTTGTGGTTGATGACCAGGCACTGAAGAAGGCAGGTGACTGTGATCAAGGACCTTGCAGGAAGCAGCTCAGGACGATGGGGGGCAGATAGAGGATGGGTTTCCTTATCCATGGAGTGGCAATCCAGCTGCCATGGGGAGATGGGGGGAGTTCCCCAGCTGTCAACACACTTAACAGAGACAGTCTCCTTCACCACCAAACTGAGCTGAGACTTCATTTCACAACGCCTTTGCAGCTCCATCTGCTGCAAATCACCATTCAAGAAACTCCTTCGACTGCTTGGCTTCTTAAAATACTAACATTCCTTAAGAGCCCAAGCACTGCAATGCCAGCACCAAGCAAGTGTGCCAAGGAGACATCATTTTGACACATGGAATCTGAGCTCCCACCAAGGCAGCTCTGCAGGGCAGCCTGCTGGGGCAAACAAAATGTGTTCCAGAGGGATCTGGAAAAAAAAAATAAAAAAAAGAAAAAAAAAATTGAGACCTTTATATTAAATAGGTGTTTAAAAGAAAAGAGACACAAGCATCACATTTTTCTGTCTTGTGTTTTCTTCACCCCCCTAGGCTGTATCCTGTTTTGCAGTGACAAACTGGGGAAATAAAAAATGAAGATGAACAGAAAATAAGACTGGGGGAGGGGAAGGAAAAGGTATTGCTTGTCCAAAATTCATGAGGAGAAAACAAATGCCACAAAATTCTTCAAACTACCACCACTGATTTAAAGGCTGGTTTTCATAGGAACAGGCATTTGGAATGATGATCAGAAGGCTACTGCCTCCTGACCCCTGCTCTTTCCTCAGCACTCTCTGCCTGTTGGTGAATCCCCAGAGTTGTCTGTGGTAATGGCATTAATCTGACTGCCCTTGTGATCCCTCTCCCTCTCCTTAACAATGCTGTGGTTGACTCTGGCACCCAGAGGCCATGGGGACCATGTGCAGTGGCTAAATGAAAGTCTGGATGTGTTCAGGGGGGATTTGCTCCAGTCAGCTATGGAAAAGAGCTTTTCTATTCTGGGTGCAGAGACACAGAGATAAGGGCTCCATCAAGCCCCGTGCTGCACAAAAGGTTTCATTCTTGTCACGTAGTGATCAGAGCTGCAAGACTAGAAAGGGCTGCAATGATTTCAGCAGCATTGTGCAATCCTCTTCCCAGCAAACGTGTGATTACAGATGGGGTGATAGAGATACGGGGAACCCATTCTGTCAGAGAGTTTGTGCACACACGTCAGAGGGCACAAGAGCAGACAGAGAGAGGCATTTGTGTGTGCTGTGCATGCATGCATGCAAATGAGTGTTTATTGCATGATTGCATGTGTGTGTGTGGATGTGTATAAACACACAGACATATTCATGCCATGCACAGATCCAAGAACATGTATGTGTGTGCATGAGACCTTACGGGGCCACCCACACAGGTGCCCACGCACCCAGACCTGCGTGTACTGCTCAGCCTAAGCATGAATGCCAAGAGCATGGCACATCCACCTTAATGCACACAGGCTCAGGCTGGGAGATGGCAGCTGCACCTTGCCAAGGGCTCTGCACACACCCACACACACCCACACACTGGTCTGGAGCAGCTGCTGACCCACTCAGTGTGACCTTTCTGCCCTGCAGTGGATCTTCGGGAGGAAAACTGGAAGGGTGGTGAATGGTGATGGCAGAGGAGCTCAGTATGGAGAGCCGAGGGTGTGTTTCCAGGCTGTTACCAACACAGCCCACGCGTAATGTCATTTGAAGCTGTTGTTAGGGAGCCGCTGTATTTGTCATCAGCAGGGAATCACAGCAGCTCAGATCAGGCAACAGCAAAACTGTCCAGGCCATGTTCTGCTTTCTGCTGTTGTACAGGGCTGTGGAACAAGGGGGTGTGTGGAGGGGGCAGGAAGCATTGTTGTAATGGAGTAGTCTCTAGAGAAAAGAGACAAGGGGAATACAAAAAGGGGAAACACCTTTAAAAAGAAGATGCTCTGAGGATCCGACACAGAATTGAAATGCTTTATCTGCTCGAACGAGTGGAAAATATGCAAATATTTGCTCATGAAAAATTGCTGTTCTTTGCCTTCCCAAGCATAAACTATGCAAACGCCACACACCACGCAGATCTCACACTCAGCACGTCATGCACACACGGACACACGCGCATACCCAGTGCGTCAGTGCAGCCGGCCAAGGACACGTGCCTGGGCTGCAGCACAGCAGCCTTCTCTCCATGACAAACAGGGCCGCGGGGCACGGGAATACGGATGCCTCGTCTGGCAAACGGTGCCCGGGGAGGCAGTGCCCCGCCGCGGCTCCCCGCGGTGCTCCGGAGCCGGAGCGGCTGCGGAGCTGCGGGCGGAAGGGACGCGAGAGCCCATCCCGGCGCTGCCCTGCCCTCGGGAACACGGGACACCTGCAGGGACACGCAGCGGGGCGGGAGAGGCAGCGCGGGGGTGGCGCCGAGCGGCGCGGGGGATGCGGGGCGGGGATGCGGGGATGCGGGGCGGGAATGCGGGGAGGCGGGGGACGCGGGGATGCGGGCGCTGCGCGGCGTGTCCTGCAGAGGGGGATCGGACACCGGCCGGCAGCGGCCAGCCGGGGATCGCGGCCGCGCTCCTGCCCTTCTCACCGGCTCCTGCCCTTCTCACGGGGCTCCTGCCCTTCTCACTGTGCTGCCCAGCGGCACTGGAGCCTCTCCGTGCTAACCCCACGCGTGTCAGACATCCAGAGGGACCTGTGCAGGCATGAGAGGTGCACATCGCAGCACAGAGAGATGCTTGTGTCCTGGGCTGCATCAAAAGAAACGTGGCCAGCAGGTCGAGGGAGGTGATCCTGCCCCTGTAATCCTCTCTGGTGAGACTCCATCTGGAGTGCTGCATCTAGGTCTGGGACCCCCAATATATGAAGGACATGGACCTGTTGGAGCACATCCAAGATGACAATGATGAAGATAATCAGAGGGCTGGAGCATCTGTCCTATGAAGACAAGTTGAGGGAATTGCGGTTGTTAGCCTGGAGAAGAGAAGGCTCCATGAAGATTGTATAGTCCGTTCCAGTACCTAACAGGAGACTACAGGGACTTTTCACAAGGGCATGTAGTGATAGGACAAAGGGGAATGGCTTTAAAATGAAGGAAGTCAGGGTTAGATTAGATATGAGGGAGAAATTGTTCACTGTGAGGGTGGTGAGGCACTGGCACAGGTTGCCCAAAGACACTGTGGCTGCCCCACCCCTGGCAGCATTCAAGGCCAGACTTTGAGCAAGCTGATCTACTTGAACATGTCCCTCCCTGCCCATGGCAGGGGGCTTGGAATTAGATTATCTTGAAGGTCTTTTCCAACCCAAACCACCCTGTCATCCTATAATTCTGTCATGTCATGTCTGGTTCCCATAGTGGAAAGAACCCCTCACAGATCCAAGAGTTTGTGATCTCTTAAACCCCAGCTTCCTTGCCCATCTGCCTGTCCACTCATGCCCCACCACCCCATCCCCCCTCCACAAAGTTTTTGCTTCTTTGGTGAGAAAGCTCATGAGTGTCTCTGAAGAAAGTTTTCTCACCCCAACCACTGTGCACCTTTCTCAGCACTCCTTGTGAGAGCTGATATGCCCTGAGTAGTGATCTACTGTTGATAAGTGATACGGGCAGGTCTAGGAGGGGGCGTAGGAGAGGATGGCAAAGGAGTAACATTTTCTGGGTCTACGCAAGAGTGGATGGGAGGAGGGGGCCTTCAGGTGCATGCAGATTCAGAGAAACAGAAGGCAACAGGCTTGCCTGAAGGTTATTTTTAAGAACTTGTTCAGACTACTGTGTCACCTGCTATGTCCCACCCAACCAAGCTGCTGGATCTAGATGTTCACAAGGCAGCAAACTCTTCCTGGTTGCAGTAGGGATAGTCCTTGCAGTCATATGCCAGAGCTTGGGGTGGATACCAGCACAGTTCTTTGGTCTCACAGGCAGAGTCACAAGGTGAGGGGAAGAGATGGGACACTCAAGTTGGAAAAGCTGCTGATGGGGAGAGGGGCAGCCTGGGCGATGCTGTGAGGCATCTCCAGCTGATGCAGCTTGTGAGCTACTGTCGGGTTCCCTCCCTGCTCAGCTGTGTCACACAAGGACTGGCTGTGGGAGCACTGGGAAGTAGAAGACAAGCTCACACTTTCATGCTCAGTATTGGAGGCTGCCAGGTCTAGCAACAGCTTTGCTCAAGCAGTGAGTGCAGGTGAACGGCTCTTCCAGCTGCTCCTCAGCCACGTGGCATTTCAGCAATGCACAGAAAAAAAAAAGAAAAAAAAAGCAGTGTCTTTGCCAGGCCTTGATCTCTGTGTGAGACAGGCCAGGCCGCCAAGCAGCACACAGCAGAAATCCCTGCTGGCAGAAGTGCCTTCAAACTCAGCAGCAGCCTGCATAAAGCCAGGGAACGTGTCATTTCTGCTTGGTCCAGGCCCCGCACGGGCAGAAGTCTAAAGAGAAATGTAGCCATGCAGCTGACATCTAATAGGTCTGCCCATCCTTAGAGACATAGAAAGTATTCTGAGCCAGTAATTTTGAACCATGCTGGTGCTCTTGAGTAACAAGGGCTGGCTGTTGCACAAGCCTTGTGCACAGACATGGAGTCCACAGGCTGGAAAAGATTCATGTAATCATAGAATCACAGAATGGTTTGGGCTTGAAAGGACCTTTAAAGGTCATCTATTCTTCCCAGCCTCTTCTGCTGCCTGGCCAGAGATGATCAGCAATCCTGGTACAGCAGAGTGACAGCTGCTGTTACAGGATAATCTGAGGGCACCACAAATTACTGAAACAAAAAACCACATTGCCACCTTTTAATGTCTCAGGTGTACCCCTCCCCATTTACAGGCACTATGGAAGGGCAAGGCAAAGGCACCCAGGAGCAGCCAGACTGTGATGGAGAGGAGGCAAGTGCAGAGCAGTGCTGCTGATCCCTTCCCAGTGCTTGAAACACATGTGAGCTCTCTCTCCAAGGGTAGTAACAGCAGTAGCCAGAAGCCTGAACTGTGCTTCCAGAAGGAATCAGCTGTGTAGCTGAGCAAATTGTGATGCTGTGCAGGGCGGGTGGAAGAAGGGAGGGAGAAAAGGAGGGAAGAAGGGAGAGAGGGAGGGAGAGCCAAGCCTGACACAGGCCAGAGGAGGAGGGGAGGCACTCACAAAGGCCTTGGAGGCAGGATGGAAAAGACAGTAATTACATAAGAGCACTTGGCGAGCATCTGGCTGGAGTCAGCTGGGCCCCGCCGGCCCTCCCTCCCGCGCTGCTAACCAGGAGCAGCTGAGGATACAGGATACAGATAACTCCGCGCGGGACCCTGCGGAGGGGAGCGGAGGTAAGAGCTGCTCCGCTTCCCCTCCTGGCTTGCCACGCTCTTGAAGATTAGGGGCAGACGAGTGGGGAGCACGGGGAAGGAAAGGCAGCTGTGGTGGAGGAGAAGCAGTCAGCAAGGGGAAGAGAAGTGGCTCTGCCTGTTGGTGCAAATGATACTCCTTCACTCTGGAGGTTTGGTGAGGGAGGAGCTGCGAAGGGCAAGTGTGTGTGTGTGTGCATGTGCAAGAGGGTGGATGGTCCACATGTGCCACAGGGGAACTGAGCTGTACACAGGGGCTAGAGAGGAGAGAAAGCATCAATTTTCTTCTCCATACCTGTGGCAGAGGTGGGTAATAGGATGGATGCAGCCACTGAGGTAGAGACAGTCTTTGTCCCCCTACTTTGCCAGTGTTGTGGTGGGTATAGGAAAAGGGAGGAAATGGAGGAGGAAACAGCTGCTTGAGAGCAGGGATTGTTGCAATATAATCTGGACAGTGCTTGCCTGGGCTGCCTCCAAGGCAAAGTGTGTGATGAGGGAGAGCGAAGGTTGTTGGGCACACAAGGTGCCCTGAGGCTTGGACAGCACTTTAAAGCATGGCTGGCACAGGGTTACTGGATAGAATTCTCAAAATCTCCTGTAAATGTAACAGCCCTGGCAAAATATCACTGGTACACACTGTTCCCTTCAGGGAGCAGGGCAATATTACCCTAGCAAAAGTGTCTTTACTGGCATAAACTTCTGCCCAGCTGGGCAATGCCACCAGAGCACATCTTTGTTAGCTGGCTCCTGGCAGGTCCCCATTCAGCCCAGATGAGACATTAAATCAAAGTCCTGCTCGCTCCCCACTGTGAGATGTTCTTGCAGTCAGATGAGACACGGGCAAAGGCCCCAGCTGATGAGGTCCCCCACGAAGAACATCTGCTTGGCTGTGAGCAGCTCAGGAGTGCAGATGGAAATGTGGGACGGAAATGAGGACAATGGCCTCCCTGCTACCTGTTTCCCTTGGAAAGGTGGAAGAGGCCAGGCATAAAGCCAAGAACCCCAAGGAGGTAATGTCATGTTTGGAAGTAAGCCAGGCAGGAAAACCTGAGGGAGGCACTGCAGAAGCTTTTTTGGGACAGAGAGGAACTTTGTCTTCTGTATCAGTCTCCAAGTTTTCATGCACCCCAAAAAATTTTCTTGCCTTTAATAGTACTGTCAGCTGCCAAAATTCCCACCAGCAGCAGCCAGGAGTAGACAACACAACACATCACAAGACCCCTCTTCTGTCAGCTGGTAAGGCTCCATTAGCAAGAAGTATTGCCCTAACCTTCCCCCCCCCCCATTTCCCAAAAGGGGAAACTGAGGCACGGGCAAACGTGGGTAACTTGTAGTGGATATTATTGCATGTCAGTGCTGGAGCCCAGGGAGGAGCTCATGCACTCAGCAGTGCATTTCTCCGTCCTCTTCCTGCCCCAGCTGGAAGGCATGTTCACTCCATGTTCATTGAGCTCCAGGCTGACAGGCAGCCTGAGAATATCTGCAGGCCTCCCAGCCCCCATTCCTCCCTTCCCCCCTCAGCTCACAGTGCATATTTTCCCAGAGTTTTCCGCTTGCTTCTCCAGTGGTTCTGGGGTCCTGCCAAACGCCAGCCACTCTCTGGGAAGCGGGGCCTCCCATTCCTAAACCAAACAAATGGGAGAAGGGAAACAGGGGGAAAAAAGTCCCAGCACACGTAGACACACTCAAAACCTGATTCCCCTCAGAAGCCTTGGAGCCTTCTGCAGCTCCTCTTGGAAACTGCAGGAGGCACAGTGCTGACTGGGCATTTCTGACCCCTGCAGAGCAGAGATATTGTCCCTCCTTCCTTCTGCTTCCCAAAGATCCGTATGTGCACGCACCCCCGCACCCCACACATACCCAGGGTATAAATTCCCAGGTCAGTTTTGGTGCAGGATAAAACCCTCTAATCCTCTTCCCAACAGACTCTGCAGTGTGAGAAAAATCTCCCATCTCTCCAACCCTGCATTCTTCTCCCCTCCAAAATGCCCTTCATTCCAATGTTCTGGTGCATCCACATTGTGCTTACCCCAAAGGCACAAGCTTGTCAGCTTGGCGCCAAGCTGGGGACAATGGTCACAGCCAGGGTTTGTTTCCAGATCCCCAGTTTTGCTGGCAGGAAACTCCCAGCAGCCAGGCTCTGCTTCAGACCAGGCACACCCCTCCCGTCCAAAAGACTCAGCCTGGGACCTAAACAGGGGACATGACCGGGGGATGACACGTGCTGGAGCACAAGGCTTGGGGCTCTGCCCAGGCAGAGGGGATGACCAGAGAGGGAAAAAACGGATGCCTCTCCCAGTTGGCAGCTGCTTCTGCTAGAAATATCATGCCTGGGGCAAGAGGCCACAGTGATGTGCAGAAAAAACAATGCAGGAGAGAATGAAAGATGAAGTTTGGGGACTATGAGTGGGTCAGGCACAGCTGGGGAGAGAGCCTGGCCAAGCATGGCCCTGGGACAAGGGACTAAGGCAAAGGACTGAGACAAGGGACTAAGGCAAAGGACTGAGGGCAGAATTCTGAAGCACCCTGCCTGAAGGAAAGCCTGTCTCTTGCACCGATGCACCTTACCTTGTGCATTCTGAGACGACAAGGGTGGGACAGCCCGGCTGCTGTCCACCCCTTGCACAGGGCACAGTCCGTGCTGCCTTCGTTTTTTGCTGGCTGGAAGTGAAAAGGCGGATAATAAAACCAAACCAACAACGCGTACAAGAAAAAGGCGCTTCCTAGGAAAGAGTTAAAAAGACGCTGAAACCCAAGCCGGTTTAGGATGGAGAGCACCCAAAACCAGGGAGGGAGAAGGAGGGAGAGGAGAGGGGAGGGAGCCGGTCCAAGCCTAGCTTGCGCACCCAGCCAGCGCTGAGCAGTGCCTGTGCCAAGAGCCGGCTTCCTTAAAGCCATGGGCGCGGGGGCCTGCCCTGCAGGCACAGGGGAGCCGGCGAGCCGGGGCTGGGACGCGGAGGGGACAGCCTTCGGTCCCCGGGGTGAGCGGCTGCGCTGCGCCGGGGGGCAGGCAGCGGGACGGGGCGCAGGCTGCCCGAGGGGCTTTCTCAGCTGCTTGGCGTGTCTGTCTTTCGTAAGCATACTTCTCTGCAAGCTGCAGAGCTTCACGTCCCCGGCAGCGGAGCAGCTGCCCTGTGGTCCGCCCAAAGGCTGCCCTGCGGAGCCGGCCGTGCCCTTGGGAAGGTGCTGGGGTTCGCCTGGGAACACACTGGGCACGGGTGGGAGGCACCGAGCCGGCGGGGCGGGGGGATTTGGTGGGGAAAAGGAAGGGGCTGAAGTTAAGTTCCCAGCCCACGGGAGAAGAGGCATCTCTGCTGGGACATGGGGATTTTGGGGTTAGATTCCTATAAAGAATTGATATGCAGTGGTAAGAGGGCTGGAGAACTTTTTTACAGCACTTCCCACAGATTGAGCAGCCTACCAGAGCATGCTTTTGCTGAAGAGCTGTTGAGGTTGGACTCAATGACCCTAGAGGTCTTTTTCAATCTTAATTTATGATTATGTTTCCTTCCTGTCTCCCATCCTGGGGACTGAATATACTAGTGGCTTTAATGGTTTGTCTAGTCAGCATCAAGCCTTGTCCCAGGGTCAGCACCGAGTGTCCATTGCCCTGGCAGAAGGGCGTGGGGCATCCTCTTGGGCCAGAGGATTGCAGCCTTGAATAAGCATGTAAGCTCCCTCCACAGGGCAATGCCATTTCATCCCACCCCTGGCTCCAGCCACAGAAAGTGGTTTTATCATATCTCTGTTCCATCCCTTATGTCCTCCCTCTTATACCTCACTCTTGGCACTTGCTCCTATCTTCCCAGGTCACCATGGACATAACCTACCTGCGCACATCCCTGACCTTCCTTTTTCTCCCTCTTGTTGTGTTTGGGGCACCTGCTGATGAACCCAGCCTCACAGAACCAGGCCCTGGTGCTTGCAAGCGCTGTTGTGACTCACTGGACTCTTCCACAGATACCCCACCAGTCCCTCCCAGCCATCACCACTTTCCCTACCCAGTGCCAGAGGTCCGTCCCTATATCAACATCACCATTCTGAAGGGTAAGTCTTTGCCCCGGGATGCCAAGGCTGGCTCAGGGACTGATGGCATTGCAGTGGAGGTCACAGCTGGATTGCTGGCATGCTGGATGTGCTAACAGACCACACGCACTGTGCCCAGGGTTTAGGTGTTTTGTGCTGTGATGAGGAGTAGCCTGGGGGGACAGAAGTCGGTGCTCTCTCTGCTGTGATCTCTGTGTCTCAAGATGCTGCCTGCTGCTAACTCTTCCTCCTTGCTAACACAGGACAGCCTCTTGCCAAGCTGGGAGGACACATTCCTTGTCTCAGACTTACAGAGTCCTGTAGTGCCTGAGGGAAGGAACACTCCTTATCAACTGCAAAATAAGTATGTTTGGAGGGCATTGGCACCCAGGGAGCTTGTGGGGAAACCTTCTCCAGCTCCCTGGGCCATGTGCTTTTGGGAGCAGGAGGAGGGCAAAGGGAGGCAGCAGTTATTTGCAAGTTCCTCCAAGTTAAACTTGCAGTGACCCTCAGTTCATTCCACGCTGCAGTGGCTGGCTTGGCTAATGGGAAAGGGTTCCCTATTTTAGATCAGCTCCTCCCTTCAGGACTCCCCTTTTAGCCTTTGCTGTGGGCAAAAGCCTGTTCCCAGCTGGATGCTGCCACACACTTCTTGTAGCTCTGTGGTTTGTCTGGGTTAACTGGGGGGATGCTCTCCCTTCCCTGCCCTGCCTGGAAGTAGCTGCAATCCATCAAAGCCCAGAAGGGCAGATAGAGGCCTAGACTAGAGTGGGGTGTCATAGGAGGACCTTCAATACCATGCAGGGGATGGAGAGGAGAAAAAGAAAAAGATACAGATTTTGAATGCTGTCACTTAGAGCTGGAGGCTGCTCTGAGTCCCATTTCTTCTCTGTATACACAAAGTACATTCTGGTGCAAGTCTCTCTATTGATGCCTGCTCAAGTGTCTGATGGGCAGTGCACACAGTCCATGTTAGAACTGCATATTAATTACGCAAGATGCTCAAAGCATGCCAGTATTGTGAAAGCACCATCCCTCTAAGTTGCAGTGCTCCATCTACCCAGTCAAGCTTGGATCTTTTCCCTCTGACCCACCCCATTGTCCCTCCCTAATCATATTCCCGCACAGGTGTTAGCAGTTCCTCCCCTCCTCCAGCCTACAGCAAGACCAGTGTGCATCCTCTGTGGATAACTGGGTCATAGGAGAGGTGTGTGAGAGGGCAAGGCTGTGCTAGAGGTAAAGGAATGTGGGGGAGGAAGAAGAGGTCAAGAGCCCCAGTGGTACTTTGGACTGCTGGGTTCCCTCTGAGGCTGAAGTCTCCCAGGGAGATGTCCTGGTGCCTCCAGCAGAGTCACATCATTTGGTGAGCAGGGGATTCATCGGGGAAGAGACTCCAGTCACTCCCAGAGTTCTGCTAGCTCCTTTCCCTTGAAGACTAGTGGTACTGTCGCCCTCAGAAGTGTTCCTTCTTCTGGCATTGCCCCATTCTAGTGCAATTCTCTGTCTCCTCATTGGTCTTTCTCACCACCACTTCCACATCTTCTGGTATCACACAGGAGTCGTGTCCTCTGCTTCCTCCTGTAGGAGAGAAAGGAGACCGGGGAGAGCCTGGGATGCCAGGGAAATGGGGCAAAGAAGGACCACGAGGCGAGCGGGGTGCCCAGGGCCAGAAAGGCAGTAAAGGACAGATGGGCACAGCAGGAGACCCCTGCAAGCATCAGTACGCTGCATTCTCCGTCGGTCGCAAGAAAGCGCTGCACAGCAGCGAGGGCTTCCAGGTCTTGATCTTTGACACCGTCTTCGTCAACCTCTACAGCCACTTCGACATGTTCAACGGCAAGTTCTACTGCTCGGTGGGTGGACTTTACTATTTCAGCCTCAATGTCCACACCTGGAACTTCAAGGAGACCTACATGCATATCATGCACAACGAAGAAGAAGCGGTCATCCTGTATGCCCAACCCAGTGACCGCAGCATCATGCAGAGCCAGAGCCTCATGCTGGAGCTGCAGGAAAATGATGAGATCTGGGTGAGGCTCTACAAGCGGGAGAGGGAGAATGCCATTTACAGTGATGATGTTGATGTGTACATCACCTTCAGTGGGTATTTGGTCAAGCCCAGTATTGAATAATTCCTCGTCCTTAGGGCCTCTTAGGCCTTTTCCTTATTCCTCTCCCTCTCTCTCTCTCTCTGTCTCTGTCTCTCCCTCTCTCTCTCTCTTTACTGCCCGTAACCACTGCAATTCACTTGGAAATGGGCCTGTCAAATCTCAGGCACCGAGTGTGAAACTTGCCACACTGGCTCCCACCTCACGCTCTCCTGTAGCCAGACCTGTATCTGTCCACTTTACATCATGGCACCACCTCTTGCCCCTCACCTCATAACCCCAACTTAGGTTATTGGCTTCTTCTCGATCTGCCAGCAAGCTGGCATTTAGGGCTCTAGAGCAAGAGGAAAGCCAAAATGCTGCTCCTGGGCCTGTGTCCCTCCTTGGGGCTTCATACACAAAGGACTCCTGTGGAAAGGGCTACAAAGTCCCCACTGCTGAGGTACATCCTGGCTCCTCTCCATCCCAACTAGACAAACCAGTTTTGCAGCCTGAAACAAGGTCTTGATGTTACCTCTGATATCTGTAGTCTGGAGAGCAAACTGGGGTCTGATGGTCTCCTGTAGCACAGGGAAGATGTAGGAGCATGGGGAGAGGAGATTGTCTTTCCGAAAAGGGAACTGTTGGCCTTCTAAACCGGCTTTCCATAGGCACTCTTCTGTTCACAGAGTCCAGGCTGGTCGTCAAACCTAGACCTGGTGGGATTGTCCTCCTCTGTGCCAGCTCTAGCTCTTCAAAGAGATGAAGGGCCAGACACCTGGCCAGACCCTCCATGGGTGTCTGCCCATGATTTAGTAGAGGCAACCATTCTGTTCCCACTAGGGATCACCAGTACAGAACTAGAGACAGAGAGAGAAAACCTTGAAAACCCCCTCCCACACCTCCCCCAGAGTGCTACTCAGTCTTGGCTTGTCAGCTATGGGAAGCTAGTCCAGAGAGCGAACCCAAATCTGCTTCCCTTTGGCAGAGGTGCCATTTCATTGTCCTCCTGAAGGTGGTTCTCCCATGCTGGTACAGAAGGATCACTGTTTCAGGGCCTGAGCTTGAGGCTGTGGGGGCAATTGCAGTTCAATCAATTCCAAAGGTGGATAGACTGCCATGTCTTTGCCTCTGTGATGGAATAGAGATAGAGGTGAGACAACAGCACCTTGCCCAAGGGTTAAAAGCTTCCCTGTCATATGCTCCATGCCCTTTTCTGGCAATCTCATCACAGTAACTGAGGAAAGCATGTAGCTAAAACAAACCCTCGCTCTTTTTGTCAGGTTGGAGATGTCGCAGTGAGAAAGGAATGCCAGTGGTAGGGTTTTCTAGTACTATTTGTATTGGTCTCACACTGCTCCCACTTGCATCCCTCTGCGGGGGATGCTGCAGTCCTGGGGGAGCAGGTGAGGCTGGCTCAGCACTTTAGGAAACCTACTTCCACATGTTGTGATGCTCCCATAAACAGCAGTGCCAGGACTTGTCTCCTTTTTGAGTCTCAGGGCAGGACAAGCAGGAGAGACACGGGTATTTCTCCTCTGCTCATCACTGGTCATGAAATCTCCGGACTTACCTGGGTTCTGCTGTCTCATTGATGAGCCATGGTCTCTGCCTATAGCACCTGGGACTACCAGGGCTCTCCCAGAAGAAATGTGCATCATTATACAAGATTATGTCTGGTACACACAGCCCGAGATAGCAAAGGAACAGAGACCAAGGCTAAATATTAAAACTGACCTTGAAAAAATTGCAGGGCATTTTCTCTCTTGTCCTGTTTACTTACTGTCTGTGCTTTTCTAAGAAAGCTGTACAGACTGCAGAGAGTTTCAGGAACTTTGCTCTGGATCCTCCCCACCACTGTTAATGAGGCAATGGGTATAAAAGCAAAGCTTCACTAAGGCAAGGCTGATTTTTTCACAGGGAAACATGTGAGGAAGGCATTGTGGAAACTAAAGGAGACTGTGGGTTTCTTCCTCTCCCATAGCAGGTCAAGTGTGTGGAATTGCTCAGAGGCAGGATTTCAGACAGCAGAGGAAGCAGAAAGCTGGAAGTGATGCTCGGGACCGAATCCCTTTCTCTCATCTTCAACAGGCTGCAAATTCAAATATAGTAATTTACAGTGTATAGTGCCCCATGCCCCCCTGAAGAGAAGCAAGCCTCTCTAACACTGAATATCTCCATGAACAAGCTTCCTTCTTTCTCCTTTCCTAGTTGGTGATTGAATGCTGGTGACAGGTCTCCTGTGCTATCCATAAGCAGCCAGAGGGTGCCTGATGCACATGAGAAAGGAGGGCAGGGGGACCAAAGGGTGTGTTTAACAGGCTTCTGGTGCTAAACAAGATGGCATTCCCTTGGTGCTAAATCAGATTTCAGGAGTATTGGGTGCTTTCTGGAAAGTGTAGTAGGCTGAGTTGCGATGTACTCTGGAATTAATGGTGCTTTATGTAACAAAACCAAACAAACTCCAAGAACTTTTGTATATATATATTTTTTCAGTGGTATTAAACTTTTTTCCTTGGTTGTTTTGCACTTAAATCTGTTTTTCTCTCCCAACCTATTCCTTCTAGCTCTGGTTATTGCTGAATGATGTGATGGAAAAGACACTGGCCTGAAATTGACAGGTACAAAATTTAACTCAGCTCTGAAACTTCCCTAGGTAATCTTTGGCAACCTTGTGTCTGCTTCCTTTGCAAAGAACCATTACCTTAAAATACTAACTGCTTGAACACTTCTAATTATGACAACCCTCTCCCTTTTGCTGGAAAAGCTTTCAGCAAATTCAAAAAACGATTCTTTGGGGATTACAAAAAAACTCCCAGGACAATACAATGCGTTGTAGGAGCAGGCTTCAAGTACTTGTTTATGTGGAGGAAGGCTGAGTTAATGTTGGAGGTCTCTTGAGGGAGATCAGATCCCTTTATCTTATGAAATTTTTTAGCACATTCTTCTATCAAGTACTTGGTAAGCACTGTTTTCCCTATGACATTTCTCTTTTCTCTGCCAGGAGCTGAAGGCCAGGAAGTACAGTGTAGGAGGGATAGTAAACTGTTGACTGGACACTTGTGCTTCCTAATATTGGAATGAGTGGGAGTTCCAGAGTTAAGCTGGACATGCATATTTGGAAGACCTGTGTGTGATGAGAAAGGCCTGAGCTTCAGGTCAGAGGTGGAAGGACAAGTGGCAATTGCTCATGAAGTTGAGGGAGAAGGGAAGACATGAGCAGGGACTGGAGACTTGTAAGCTTGAGTGAAAGATCTAGAAGGATAGATTCCTAAGGACAGGGAGATGCCTTTTGGGGTCTCAATCCAAGTCAAAGAGGTACATGGAGTTTTGTTTATCATCTTTGGACTGAGGGGACCCCTGCTGAGGTAGAAGGACTGGCAAAAGAACAAGATGAGGTGCCCATATAGGACCTGCTGTTTTGAGTTTAATTTGCCTTCACATAGTTTCTCCTGTGGTTTGATGTGTACCAGACACTTCATTTGGCAACGGGTGGAATACATACACATCCCTACAGGCCTCTTTGGTCCTGTGACAGGCCCAGAGCAAGGGCTATATATATCCTAGTGAATGCAATACTCTGTCAGGTCAGAGCCCAGGCTTCTTCCTATTTTTTATTTACTTCTGAGGAAGCAGATAAAAATGTGTCCTCAGGAAGTGTAGTGGTTGTGTTTATGCATGCTCCTGTTCCTTGAGGTGAGATGCTGGCAGATTGGAAGTGACTTTGTCACACTTACAAAAGGTGAGGAAAGGAGAGAGGGGGGGAGAGAGAGGGGACAGGAAATGTGGAGCCATATCTTCAAGAAAAGTTTTCTATGATTCAGCCTAGCACCTGAAGAGTCTCCTCAGCCAAATCCCTTGGGGCTAAGATGCACGGTGACAGGCAGGACTGTAGCTGGTGCCACCCATCTCACCATGAATGCCTGACCAAGGAGTTGCTGCAGGTGAGGCTCAGCTCAGGCAAGATGGACCCTGCAGAGCTTTGAAGAAACAAGGTCTAGAATGGGTCAGATCAGCCCTGCTGCCCTGCCAGCAAGTGCACCCATGCCCAGAAGGCCATGAGACCATTCATTCATTCATTCATTCACCCCAGGTCTGTGGTTTTTTCCATGCAATGGAGCTGCCCTGTGGAATGTGATTCAGGGGTTGGTGACAGCCAGTATCTCTCTCCTGGACAAAGCAAGTGCCCTGGGATGTGCAGCTACAGCACTACCCCTGGAGCTGTGCCTATAGTTTCCCCTGAAAGAGTGATCCAAACTCTGCTGCAAAAGGCTCTGTGGATACTTCTGAAGTTAGCTCAAGGCATCTGCCACAGGGCTGTGCTGAAAACTGCCTTCCTGCAGTCCCTGGTCTTGCAGGTATGAAAGGAAGGGAGTGGCAGAAAGGACGTGAAGTCCAGGACATGGTGTTGTCCCTGGGAAAGGAAGCACATGCCAGGGACAAGTCAGGAGAAGCTGACAGCCCTGCAATAGCTCCTTGCCCTGTGATAGCTGTGGGAAAGGGCAAGAGAGAAGCAGGGCAAGAAAAGTATGAAGGAGGCCTTGAACCCTGCAGGTGGGCACAGGTGGATGTGCTTGCATCCAAAGCACCAGGGAGAGCAGGGACACAAGGAAGCAGGACCTGGCTGCTTCACAGCCTTTGTCACAGGAGGGACAGTCACAGGAACTGTCTCTGGCCTTGGCTCAGCTGCCAGCTATGGTGCAAGGTCTGCCCCACATCAGTGTACTCTTCAGGGGCTGCCACGCTGTACTGGAGCAAGTTTCCCCTCTGCTGCAGCCTGCTGTCCTTCCTCCTCTCCCAAACCACCCAGACAACCTGCTTCACTCACACCTCAGCCTTGTTTATCTCCCAGGGTCCAGAGAGGGAGAGGGGGTGATGCAACACCGCAGGCAGCATCGCCCAGTGCCACGAGCAAAGCTGCCACCTCCTCCATCTGGCACACTGCAGCCAGATACCAGCAGTGGATTCAGCCTGCCCAGACCTCCTTTCTCTCAACTTCCCTCTCCCATTGCTGGCTGGGAGCTACCACAGGATTTGAAGGGTTGGAGGTGGGCCCTGCTCAAGGCTATGTGGGTGGTGGGGCACAGCTGCATTTGAGGGCAGTTGTTCCGCTGCATTGTGCGGCGTGGCCCTTCTCTGACCACAGGGGCAAAGCTGACACTTGCCCAGTCCCGCCAGGAGGCCAGCTCAGTGCACACTCTGCTGTGCCACCCACACATGCCAACACACATACCAACCTCATATGGACATCTCTCACCTTCCTGACAACGGAAACCGTTGCTCTTTGCAAGCCTGG